ATATGTATGTATGTATGTATGTATGTATGTATGTATGTATGTATGTATGTATGTATGTATGTATATGTGTGTATTTATATACATATGTATGTATATGTATATACATATACATATATATGTATATATATGTGTATGTACATACATATACATACATATATGTATGTATATGTATGTATATGTATTTATATGTATATATGTGTATGTACATACACATATATATATATACATACATATATATATATGTATGTATGTGTGTGTGTGTGTACATACATACATATATGTCTGTGTGTGTTTATACATACATACATACATGCATACATATATATACATACATATGTTCCTTTTAGACACTGGAATTTGCAAAAGCTCATAAAGCATCTGCCTAATGTATGCCTCAAAGAAGACGAGATTCAAAATTGGAGCTTCAGTGAACCCCGTGTTTTAGTGCACCTTAGGCATCCATTTGATGAATGATAAATATGCAATCATTAATCTAACATATCAACAGATTAATTATTGTAGATATAGGTGCAGTTTGCCACACATATAAAAAGATCTGTCAGATCTCAAGTGCTATCAAACCATTCCAATTTGCTTCAAGCTGGCAAAAGCAGTGACACCTAAAACATGATCAGGACTACTAAGCCAAGATGTCTGAACTGTGGAATTCTTTAAATTGATTTTTTGTATTATCTGTAGAGTAAGAGAGTTCAAGTGTAAAAGAAGAGAACTTTGCCCTTCAGCATGTTATTGCATTATATCCAAAGAGAATATTTCATGCCTCACCACATGATAGACACACAACTGTTGTCAAATACCATAGAGTGCATAGTGCCAAAAAGATGAACAGGTTAAACGTTATGCAAATATGTATGATCATAATACAATCATCAAGAAGTCTTATCTGATATACTAAGATCGGTGGTAAATCAATTGACATAATACAACCAAATATAGTTATAATTTATAAATCTGAGATTAGCTCCACCAACCTCAGAGCATGACCATTTTATGTTGTGCTACCCACTTATTCAACCAATCAATTTTAGAAGAAGTGGGAAGATGCTATACGCTCAAACGCACAAGAGGTCCTCGTTTTTGGATTTTTGCTAAACCTTAAAATGTTACCTCAATCCTGGTCATGCCAATCCAGATCAGGCAAACTTTGTCCAGGGGCTCCTAAAACAGAAGTTTGTATGAATACAATAAAGCTCTGGATTGCCCATAGGGTTTCAGATCCAGACTGATCGAATCAGATAACAGAAGCAAGTTTCTCAGAAAAGAACTAGAGATTGAGATTAGCAAAAAACAAGAAGGGCTAGTTGAAAAATAGGATCTGCCAGGTTCTACTATTTCCAACAATTTCAAGCTAATACTAACTCTGGAAAAAATAGGATTTCTGGGTAGGAAAGGGATAAGCAGATGCTATGCAAATCAGCTTAAATCTTTCGCTAGAAACAACCAAAGTATGAGAACTGAAATCTGCAGAACAATCAGAATAACTGCACCCCTGCTTCATAGTAAAATAGATGTTAGGTTCGAAAGAAACAAATTCTTGACCTACACTCACTATGCTAATCCTGTCCAAGGAACATGGATACATAATATCACACGTGTGGTTAGATGATTATAAGTTATTTTCTTCATTGAGAAAAGAATTCATTACTGTAAATTTAAGCCAGTAAAATTCACAACCAGGAAGCAGAAGAATCATCTTACCACGTGCCAATGAATTCAAAAATCCCAATTTGCTCATTTGGCCCCCCTTATCTACTTCAGCTTGTAGCTTATACTGTCAATTTACATGTTATGACAGATTACAGATCCAAGGTTAATTTTAAATAGTTATAGCATAAAAAACTTGGGAAAGCATCCTTTTACCTTAGAAGGCGATATAAGTTGTTCGATATCTACTTGAATAATGTTTATAATATGCGGGAGACTTCGGATCATATCAGGCCCTCTACTTTGGAAGGTTTGACCCAAAACCTATGATAAGGTGTATCAATTCTAAAAGCATTGTGACTGGGGCATACTAAATTGGTACATACCTTCAAAGAAACAATCATATGACAAAGAGACTTAAGTTTCTCTCTCTTGATAGGAACCTGTAACATATCATCAAGATGAAACAATCATCAATTTAATCAATTTATCCAATGAACACTAGTAGATAATTTATTCTGGATCACAACCAGATATTATATAGTAAACAATATTATTAAATTTGCATCGAATGGAACAAAAGTAGTCATTAGAAGCAACATGCAGGAAAGGCATTGCATCATGCTCTATTCATGAAATTCCAACAGCATTATTCTACTACACTCTAAAATAACATATTTTCATGGATAAATTGTGAACGGGATGTTTGATGTAATGCTCATGTATGTTCATGTCTTTTGATTTTGTTCATGCTTTGCATAGCATATAGAGGGCTGACTGTAAGCTTAGCAACCCCATTTTTGTTGGCTTTAGTGGCCGCTTTAGGCTTGTAAATGAAGGTTGTGTCATGTGGGCACTTGTGGGCATTTCGATCTATAGTCGATCATTTTAGACCCTTTGTTATGCGACTGTTCAGAGCTTGGGAAATCTATGTTTGTAATTTGCATTGGCTATGAAGTGTTTGCTGAAATGGTTGCTTGTGGATCCTGAATAAAACATTTTCTCAAACACGTTTTCGCTTTTGTAAATCCTAAGGGACTATAAGAGGTTTTGGGAAGGCTGACCTTTGCGGACGGACAGGGGTGCCGCATGACTTAAGCAAAACTAGCTATGTTCGTAACATTTGGTATCAGAGCGAAACAAGCACACATAACACTTGGCATGAAAATGTAGGGGACCTAGCGAGATTGTGTTAAGGCAGCCAGCACACGCGATCGTTTGGACGAAACGGGCATGGAGATGTAGGGAAAGGAGTCGCTCAGAGGATCAAGCATCTGAGATTAGTATCCAGAGGAATGGCCAACCGTTTGCATAAGAGGCACCATGAGGACAAGTAAGCTGGGAAGAATGCGTAGCGCACAATGGTTGGGATGGCTGAGTTCGAGCTATCGCTCAACGTTGGCAACCATACTTGATGGTGCTTAAGGCAAACGGGGCGCTTGGTAAAGAATGAGACCATGCAAAGTGGGATGGGTTGCTCAGCGACCGAAAGAGTTGTGTAAAGTTCACAGAGGTGAGGGGAATTGCTAACTCGAAGAATTCAGTACTCATGCAAGGGCTTGTATGCGGACAATGAAATATTCGTGGTCATCCCAAGGCGACCGAAACTCGACGTCATAGAGCATTGGAACTTTCTTTTCAACACGAGAAGGATACGTCCGTAGGAGGCTAAAGTGTCAGCAAGCTCAGCATGTTGTCATGCCTTGAGGGGTGTAGCGAGGGTTGTATCGACGAAGAGTCACAATCTAATAAGTGATTTTGCGAGGGCAAAATAATGCATAGTTAGTTCAACAAAGCAATGTAGTCCAAGGGGATGGTAGTCTCCGAAACTTCCAGAGGGAAGGATACGAAGAAAGAAGTTGCTCCAATGGGACAGATATTCCATATGGATAAGTCCCGGCTCTTCAAAGAGAGAATCATGTGCAACAGATCACACATGTTGAGGAGTACCTCAAGACAACGACTCCACAAAGCTCAACGGACCAAGCGAGCAGCGAGGAGTCATCACATGATCTCGCAGGAGGTAATGCATTAGTGGACGCATTGAAAGATTAAGTAGGGGAACGACCCAAGGCAACACCAAATGAAGTCACACTTGGAACCGATATGGAAATCAGACTCAATTGAGAGTTGACCCATGGAATGGTGGGTGAGAGGGCCACCATCAACTCAATGCAAATCGAGAAATATAGTAACTTGAGCGTAACTTAGTGAAGTACCCAAGCCGCATAAAGGGAGTCAGCATAGAAGATGAAACATAGAGCGGAGGATGAAGCTTTCCTTGGACAAAGGTTAAGGACATGAACACTTGTAGAGACATGAGTGAGATTATGTCGTTCCATAGGTCTTTCATTTTGACGGAGCGGACTCATCCTGCATGGTGTCAAAGACGAAGAGAGCTTTGAGGCACATGCACCTTATCTCAGAGAAGTATTTGATAGTGGAACTAAGGTGACTTAACTTGCGGAAACGAAGTTAGGGTCAGAAGGCCTTGGCACGGGGCGAGGACACAGAGGTGGGTACTCTTGAAGAATATGCAGGAGTGATGTCATTCGTGTTGCCATGAAGGAAGCGATGGCATAACAGAGATTGTGCTGGTGGAGGTAGAGGCCCAGGATCCAAACAATGGTACACAAATTTCAGCGAAGTCGGTATGCTTCGTTTGGGTGTGACCTGAGAGCGGGTGGACGAAGGTCGATTGTCAAAAGAGCGAACACAATCGAAGGTGGCAGAAGCCTTGCTTTGTGCTGGCAAAGGCCACACATCGAGGGATCGCAGTCCGAGTTCATCCCGCAATGATCATAATGCAATAGAGATGTCATTAGGAGACGACATGGTGCAACAAATCGTGGTGGAACAATTCGAGGCAATGCAATACACACGGGACCAGTCCCACAAAGGATTGGATCATACGGAGGTACTGGGAGCTTCACTTCAGTGAACACGACGACAAGAAGGACTATGGATTAAAGGAGTGAATGCAATGATACCGCAGAGGCGAGTCTTCCATGCGTGCATCGAATGAAAGCTTTAGTCATTAGCTTATGGGGGCTGAGTACCACCGAGGAAGAATTTCAAATGTAAGTACCAATAAGTCCCTGGGGGGACTTGGTCATGTATTGGTCATGTAGAGGTATGATCAAAGCGACTAAAGAGTTGGATTGCTCCAAAGCTCATATTCGCTTTAGCAAGCCCGACAAGTCAGAGGACAAGGCTGAGTAAGCGAACGTTGCTACCAAGGAAGTTAAGAAGAACAGAATCAGCGCGAGCCCTACAATATGATGGTGGAGGCAATGCATGGGAGTTGCAGTCCTTTCCATCGACCAAAGGGAACTGCTCGGAGAACACAAAGGTGTTGAAGCAGGTGATCGAAAGGGGTAAGGAAGCGACGATGAGTCCAGAGGGAATTAGCTACCCAAAAACCAAGCATCGATTAGAATGGAGGTGAACTTGGAGGAGTGCCATAGAGGTAGATGTACCGATCGCGAAGAAATGGACGCAGATATGAGGCGATGGATAGTAGGCCATGAGCATGTCAGCGCCATGGTACCACAGAGGCGAGACTTCTGTGGAGTCATCGATCCGTTGCTCTCATGGAGAGAGAGCACTTGGTCGTGAAAAGGACTGAGGAGGTGGAGAATGCAAAGGTAAATTCCAAGTAACTAGACAAGGCTGAAGGGCAAAAACCAGGGAACTTCGTAAGACCGGTGTCAACGAGCTTCTCATCAAAATAGCCGAAAGTGGAGGACTTCGAGTCGATACAAGAGTGCTCGACCAAGGAACGAAGCAAGCAGTATGTGGTGTTGTATCTTTGTAACTTAGAGGAGTAGCCAACAGAGATGATGGAGAAGATGGTACAATCCCAGAGGCGACCGAAACCATTAGAGACTTGCTCTAAGTTAAGATAAAAACTTCTTACATTCCATAAGTTCGATGGTATTGAGAAGGTGAATCACTAGCTAATTCAATGCAAAGAATGCAAACACTTCGAGTGCTTCAGAAGTGTGAGCAAAGAGCAAACGAAGGCTAGTAACCAGCTTGATGTATGGAGTATAACCCACGAGGAGGCAGATAAAGTCAGGTAACCTTTGCCTTCTTAACTCTTAAGAGAATAAGTGAAACCAAGCATCTCAATTCTCTTATTTATTCAGCAGAGGAGCTCTGCACATGTTCAAAGACCCTTCGAAGAAACATAATAGAAGACAATAGTTGTAAAATCCTCACAAATGGTGATCAGTGCTACTAAGAGTAGATTGTCCGCTTTATTTCCTAACATAATGTCAATTGAAAGCAGAAGTGATGCAAACCTATTTGGAAATGACAACTAAGTGGAAGAAGAATCGATGGGCAAATTTTGTGGAGGAATGACCTAAAAACTTCAAAGTTTGTGGGGCGATGCTCCTTAAAGCTCCATCCACCCAATTCAAATGGTATGAGGCATTTGAGAGACTGTCGCATAACAAGGAAGGGTTTTTCCTTCATCTGAAGGATCTGCAAGAACTAACAAGGATTAGCACAACTCAGTCGACCCCACACTAGAGTCATGAGTCATTGGTGAGTTGAAGCAGCATAGTGGATCAAAAGTTCTACTACTCAACAATAGCGACGAAGAGCAGTTGGGAGTGTAGCCGGAACAGAAGATTGAAGACTCAGTAAAGACGAAGAGATGCAGCGTCTGCAAAGGCTTCGACGAGGATGTCGAAGGAATAAGTGGGGGAGAATGTCATGGACAAATTGTAAACGAGGTGTTTGATGTAATGCTCATATATGTCCGTGCCTTTCGATTTTGTTCATGCTTTGCACAGCATGTAGAAGGCTGATTGTAGGCATAGCAACCCCATTTTGGTTGGCTTTGGTGGTCGTTAGGCTTATAAATGAAAGTTGTGTCGTATGGGCACTTATGGGCATTTCGATTTGTAGTGGACCATTTTGGACCCTTTATTGTACGACTGTTCAGAGCTTGTGAAATGGTTATAAAGTGTCATATGGGTACTTATGGGCATTGGCCTTGTGGATCCCGAGTGAAACGTTTTCTCAAACCCGTTGTCTCTTTTGTAGGTCCTAAGAGACCATAGGAGGTTTCGGGAAGGCTGACCTTTGCGGACAGTCACGCAAGGGTGTTATACGACTGAGGCAAAACCAGCTAAGTTTATGACAATACGTTGAGGCAATTCACAAGTATAAATCATCATGTGCTCATTTGTCTCTATCAATCCTCCCTACACTTAAAAGGTGGAATTTCATCGTGAAGATTCAATCAATCACAAAAGATGAGCTCGACCAAAGATTAAAAAATGACATCAAAGAATCATAAAATTTATATACCCATCGTCCTCTTATCTTTTAAGAACTGAATCACAGATTGCTAACAATAAATATATATACAACAGGCATCTCCATGATCAGAAATTTATTCACTGCAATATCCAACGACCATGGTGTTGATTTTATTTTGAAAGCAAAGATAATCAAAGGACTGACAACTTAATTCATTGAGGATGAGAACTAATAATGGAAAGATTTAAATATTTGCTAAAGAACTTGAAGAAAAGAACATGGATATTGAAATTTAAAATAAAAGGACATCAATTCTGATAGAAACAGCAAAAAGAACAATGAACTTAAGTTAGACACCTTTTTTTCAGAATATTAGTCCTCCAAGAAGACAAGAACCATCTAAAGAAGATCTCATATATCTTCAGACATAGTGCTATGAAAATTTTTACTGTACCTCTGTTTCCATATTCCAGAAACCATGACACTGATACAAGAATCTCAACACTAACTGGCGGATTCTCTGAAAACAGCCTTATTTACCAAGTACCAGATTATGGCATCAAACTACTAAACTTAGGTAAAATGTCAGCTGAACATGATTTTTCATGCAAACTGAGCTGATTGAGATTTGTTCATATCGCTCAGATTATCAGAACTGGAAGAAGATTTGTTATAACACTTTCCAAGAAAGATATATAAATGCCTATGCATATGGTTTGGTTTTATTGGTAAGTGAAACTAATGAACAGAAAAAAATGATTAATGAGGACTTTGAAGTTAGCATTAGTACCTCAAGTAATGCATGTAAGTCGACTATGGAGAGAATAAGCAACTGCAGTCTATTTGCCAAGACTATTCCCTGCATTAGACAGTGAAACAAATTTAGATACTGGCATAGGTACTCAGGACAAGAGTACATCTTGCAGTAGATAGAGTGAGAATAAATTTAATATAACTGACAAGGCATCTCACAAGATGCACTTGCTGATTCACTAGATCAGGAATGCACCATAAGCAGAATTGAAATACATATTTTTAACCAATCCAAAAGGTCTTACACTTAAAAAGTTGAAGACATACTATCAAATAATATTCCATAGTTGGTATGATAAAAAAATCGAAATAATTAAAAAACAAACAGCTAAAACATTAAAAACAGTTATACAAACTCAAGCCAATCATGCAAGAGGTTGAAGGCCATCCACACATCCCAAACTCAAGATATCATATGTGCCTAAACTACAGCTCGCAGCAAGTCCTCATTCATTCATTGCCAACTCAAAACAGTCAATCTTGTGGTTGTCTATTAGTCTACTTAACAAGACAATCACAGAAGTTACATGAACTCTTTCTAGGCCTCTAAGATTCAAAACAACTTATATCATGTTCAACAGTAGGAAATTTTTACTAGAGAGATGCCACAAAGATATTGCATCCATTAAATATCAAAATGAAAAATGTTTCAATTTGAGAGGCAAATAATTCATATTTAATGAGGATGGAGTCATGAAAGACCAACGTACAAAAGCAACCTATCTAATATAAATTTCAAGTTTCACCTATAAAACAAATTTCAGTGCTAATAAGCAAACAAAATCACATATGAGATATTGCCCTCGAATTTTTCACAAAGCTTTGCCTCGCAGAAGAAAAAGAGAGAAATTTTCTCCTTTTCTTTCTTCCCCAAAACCTGGAAATGCAGCAACATTTCTCTCTTCCCACACATTTTCTAGCCCTTTCTCACATTCCTAGTAGACCAATTTTAACTCCTCTTTACCTTCGAAGTTTTCTTTCTATTTTGATTCTGTACTGTAAATGAAATTGATGGATGGCCACATAATTTTGCACAAGGTTGGGCCACCAGGTACATGACCCAGGAAGGATGAAATGTCATGCATCAGTGACTTAAAACGCCTTAAATTTGTGACTAACCCCACTAAAACATCAACAGCAACTTAACCATCAGAAAAGTAAAGCTAAAATCAGATCCTAATCTAGAGAATGAAACTTCTTAAACCCAATTACTTTTCTTAACTGCATAAGAATTGAAGTACTTAATATATCACCAGACAATTGATATCCAATAGTACAGAAGGTGTGGGATATTTGTGACTATATAACTCAATAGATTTATTTAACATAGATCACTTGTGGAACCTGCAAAGTCTTTTGCAGATGAAGCCGCAGCCATCCTTCACTTAACATCTCTGCCTAAATCCAAAAAGTGAAATAATGTAAAAAAAAAATCTCCCAAAATGGCTGACAAATGAAGCAAGACACAAGGAGGAACTAGATACCGAAGGATGAACGGTTGAGTGGAAAGAGGCTATCCAAGAAGAGAGTGCATCTTTAATTGCTTGCCAGTCCCTGTAACAGTTAAGGAAATTCTTGTAAAACAGAGTAATAAAAAGACAGCTTATAGAGCAGGATCATCACAAATCTAATTGCAATTCCAACACAAACAGTTTTCAAAGACAGTTGCTTAACATCAAGCATCAACTAAGCCCAAACTAGAGAAGCATAATTCAGAAAAGCTGACAGAATTTACAACCGATCAAGTACAAAAAATTTGGAATTGGAAATCTCATGCTGATCTAAAATTATGCATTGCTTAGCCAACTCACTCTCCGGGCAGAAAAGTCCCACATCACATGTGGGAGTAGGCTTGGATTGTTTTACAAGGCTAGATGAATCTATTATCAATTACAGAAACTTAATCATATTGAGGAATGAGGATATAGAATTGCAATCTTATATTGGACCAATAGTGCTTTCACACAAAATTAATAATTGGTATCAGAGTGGACCAACAAGGGATGAATTTAGACTAGATCTTGGACATTGCCTTCATGAAGATATCAAACCTCGAGTTATTGTAAACCATGAACAGTCCCATGTTGTACGTGTGAAGAGAATTATATTAGCTTAAGGCTCACTAAGTCCACTACTAACCTGGCTTGAGCATTTTTGGACCACATCATTGTAAGCCTGGCAGATTATTGGACTAACAGTTCTATCAAGCCAAGTGGAGACAACATTAAGGAAAATAATTTAGTAAAATGTTGATATACCAATAAAGGTTACCACACTTGTAGCTTAAAGCTAGAAGCTAACACTTAAAAATATCAAAAAAGATAATTGAGATGTGCATTTCATCAGCAATTACCATAGTCACACATAAATGTTGTCTAAGATATATGGAATTGTCTTTGTTATAGCTTCAACCATATTGCATGACCATAATTAAACTATTCACATTGTTTTGCATTAAAACAGTCAAATCAAAATAGATACCGTTCACCTAATATGTTCAATTAACTCTGATTAATTTCACTCATATTAGATTAGAAACTATAAAACAGAGATTATACACATTTGAAACAATATGATGAATGGTTCTCCGATATGAACTTATATAAAATAATTTATACTTTTAGATCCAAGGTTTTTAATTTCGAATAATACTGCCCGTATCGGGCGGTACCGTCGATTGGGGACCGAGGGAGAAGAAAGAAGAGGGAGAAGGGGAAGAAAGAATAGGGAGAAGAAGAGAACCTGGAGATCGCCAATCTCCCTCCTCGTCTATCGCCGACTTCTCATCCACGCGAGAGAAGAGTCCTCAGCGTCGCGGGGAGAAGAGAGATGACACCGCAGCGAAAACGGTTTATATATATATATATATATGTCGCCTCGACGACATCGCTCCGCGTGGGGAGAAGAGAGGCGACGTTGCAGATTTTTTTTTTACTTATATATATATATATATATATATAGGCGACGTGGCCTCATTTTTTTGCAACATCACCTCGGCGACGTCGCCGAGGCAACATCTCATAAAAGACTTTTTTTATGTGTGTGTGTGTATATATATATATATCGAGCGGTATACCGAAATATTCCGCTCAGTATACAGTACCGTACCGTACCGAGCAAGGTATGCAGTATCGAATGATACCGCCCGGTACGGGCGGTACATACCGGTCCAACGGCATACCGGTACGTGGACCGCCCGATACCGCTACAGTGCTACAGTATGAAAAATTATAAAATAATTTGGTACACCAGAGTGTACCGCTCGGTACGCCCTGGTGTACCGCTCGGTACATCTATACCATACCGTACCGAACCAACATCGAAACATCGGTACGGTACGGTATTGCATACCTTGGTACCGAGCGAATCTCGAAACTCCAATACAGTACGAAATTTCAGCCCTTGTTTAGATCTATAATTTAACTCATAAGATTTTAAGGGGGCTTCATAATACTTAATAGTTCTTTGCCAAAACTAGTTATCCTAGGAGTTTCACGAATGAACACAAATACAAGGATCTTGTTCAAGAGATTGTATGTATTCTTATGGAAGTCCCATTTTTCTCATTTCAGATGACAGGAAACAAATTAGAAAGAAGCCTATAACATTGATGTATTATAATGCAAACGTTAATCACTTTCCTGGCCTTAATATTGTAATAATGCTAAAAAATTCCAGTTCCTCTTCTTATTTCCTTTTCCAAGAAATAAAAGACTTAACAAAGATTATCAAATGAGAGTTAAAAAGGGAGTAAACGATGGAAGGCAAAAAAGAGAAAGTTAAAGTGAAAAGAAGGAACAAATATACAAAAACCAAGACAATGATTCCAATCTAAACAACTACTAATGAGTTATGAATTTAACCATGTATACCAAAACAGAACAGTGGAACTTAAGTTTGTCACAATTACTTGAACCGGAGACATGTCACATTGCTAAACCGGAGAAAATCATTTCTCACCATTACATAATTATCTCATGTGGTCTGATATAGAAGTGCAAGTAAAAAGAACTTAGAGCATACCTAGAATGAGCTTCACTTATTCGCTTGAGGTAGTTGCTAATCAAGACATTTCGATCCCTTATGGCTTCTCTCATGAAAGGCCAAGTGGATATTGACGAAGGACATTGGTCTTTCAGCACGTCAATTAATATAATTCTCTTGCCTCCCCCAACATAGATGAGAGGGACGAGAAGGAGCATATCTGAGAGAACCTTTCCTATTTTCTTCTCTGGAGTTAAAGCTGATACAACAAGCAGGGAAAAAACAAGTTCAACAGAAAAGAGTTCTTTTGACTAAGATAACGTCCCAGTCTTTGCATCAAAAAAGTGAACCTTACATCTTATCCTCAATAACAAGCCACATTCATCAATATTTCCACAGGACTATGGAGCTATAGTAGCAATTGTTGACACTTAGGATACAGAAGCAACAAACCTTGATTTACTGGTGCAAAAGGTCAAATAGAGAACCATGAGGAAAAAAGGAAATTTCACAAAAATTACAAGCTACCATTGAGTCAAACAGATATCGGAAAAATATAATTCCTTAATTTATTTTTACAAAAATTTATTGATGATAATAATTGTCAGACGTTAATATTTGACTTTCATGAAAATGCATCATATCAATCAAATTTCATGACTATTGGAAGATTAAGAAACTAAATTTATTACCAATATTGGCATGGGGATAAAAGCAACAAGGATACCAGAGTCCTTCTATGAGCTATTTTGGTGGTAATCCCCAAAAAGCTAAAAGATTATCCTTTGAACAAAAACAGTGCACAGTATTACATATTAGGTGAAAAAGAAATCACAATTTTATCTAGTACTATCACTAGACTGCCACAGTTACAGATGGATTATGACAGAAGTAATACTTCATTGATTATTGGGGTTCAATTCACTAATTTCAGAAAAACAAGAATAAAAAGCATGGCCACTGAGCTTTTGGCACTCTTAAGGGAGAAAAGAATAAAATAACTTTATAATAGAAGCGAGGTAATTGAAAGAGAAGGAAATCACAAAGAACAACTTTGGCTACACAATAAAAAATTTATTTCCTTTAATAGCAAAGAAGCAAATTAGTTGTATTGATATGTATGCCAACTTCCTTGTCCTATAAATGTTGCCATAAAATCCAACAAAAAGGAAAAAAACAAGACAACAGAAAGTGCTTTAGAATTGCATTGTTCACCATGTTTGCATAAGATTTCAAACCAGACTTCTTAAGTGCATGCATCACATATCAAACCAATCATTATAACATAACAGAAACCAACAGAGAATTCCTACCAAGGTTTCAAACAAATAGATTGATATCTTCATCAATGGAGCTGCTAGATGTCTTAATAGACTATCAAATTCCAGAATCAAAGGGCCGAAAGATTAAGCAACTGTTACGTATTGCAAAAGTTAGTCAGACTACTAATGTGCATGAATGGTTGCAAGCATTGAATACTACTGTCGTAAGAAAAAGCACCAGTTGCAGCAAGAAGTCAATCCACTTAGTAGTTTCACACATAAAGATTAGAAAATGGAAGAGTTCAAGCAACAATCTTGGAGCTCACATTCCAAGTAACAGAACTATTGGACTCAATGAACTCACTATTCCTGTAGCAGAGTCTTTGCTTCTTGAGAACACTGCTGTTCATCCTCTTGCCTTTTGGTTTCTTCCACTTTCAAGATTAACATGGTTCTCTCTAACCATGGTGATGGAGGGCAGGCATGACTGGGTCACCTAACAAGAATGATAACTTCTCAGGTAGGTGCTATAATTATGTTGATATGGGTAGTGTGTCTTTGGTGTAAAGACCCAGACCAAAAGCAAAAACCTGCAAACTTTCTCCTCTATCTTCCTCTTCTTCTCGTAGCATGAACAATCATATTAATAGACCAAAGTGTATCAATTTCACTATGACGAGAGGTGCAACTATGAGTTCCTTTGCAACCACGGCATGGTAACTCAGTGGAATTAAGTTGGATAAGTATGATGTCAAAGAAGCTCTAGTTAGTCTTCTAACAAGAAACTGGTTTCGGAGAGGAAATGAGTTGTCCTCTATTTCAGACCCTATTACCTCCTCCGTTCCCTTTTTCTTTTTCTTTAAGTTCTTCCTGTTCTCCATCAATCTCTGTTCCATCTAAATAATGAAATGAAATTTAATGTATTCTTCTTTGCCTCAAACGAAAATGTACTGAATCAACATAATGGAAAGGAAGACCAAAGAAGAATATGGCCAGAGAACGATATTAAGCATAAAAAAGGATCCTATGGGCCTGGAAAGGGCATAATGACAAATAGTTATACTAAGTAGCTCCATACAGCAACCTAATTCAGATAGTACTTAAAAAACATTTGTTATAAAGAAAAATATATCAATTAAACCATCTCATACAGATCTGCAATGAAGCCTCACCAATTTTCTATGATTAATCAGTAATTCAGCTTTGAAAATATAGAAATTTCTCCTAGATAAAATAGATAATGCAGGATTAATTATTGGCGAAACTAAGAGTACTTGAAGAATTCTTTCAACAAACAATTAAGCTAACTTACCAGAGGCATATGTAGAAAATATAAAAAGAGCCATATGCTGCATTATCTTCCATCGATCAAGTGGTAGTTCCTTCCAAGTACCTAAGATAAAGTAATAAACCAAAATATTAGAAAAAATTAATAGCTGTAATTTTATTGAAAAACAAATAATAAATAAGTCAAGAGGTTGATTACCAAGTCTTGGAAGAACTTCTAGTAAACCCTCATGGATGCAAGAAAAACATCCATCAATAAATCTCTTATTGTCCTTGACTTGTTCCATTGTCGCCTGCCAAGATGATTCCTTGTGCAGTAACCACTGACAAAAAAATCTTATAAAGCTTGAGCTGACATTTACAGAAAGAAATCTATAATAAACTTTGTTCATTGTAAATTGGGTGCTCATTCCCAGAAGACAGGGACAAAAAAGAGAAAATTAAGATTTCAACCAACCAAATGTTATAGTCCTTGCCTGAAAGAAGCTAACTTCAAGAAGCTTCTCAATATCGCGAACAACTTGATCTATTAAGTCTAGGTCCTCAACATTTATATCAAAGGTGTCAAGTTCCAATTTCACCTTATTAAGCATCCTGCAAAGCCAAGATCAGAAAGCATTAATAGGGGAAAGTAGCATGAACCCATCTCCTCAATTTGTTCCTGTATAACAGTATCTTTCAGCATCAGACCTCCTCCATCATCCCAAGTAACAAATTTCTCAATTACACAACAATGTGTCACCACTCAGGTTGACCAAAATATAAATTCACAAACAATCTTCACAGTGTGTGAATACCAAAACAAGCCCCTATATTTTAGATTTATCCCAAAAGCACCCCTATAACACAAACACGCACAAAGCAACAAATTTTTGTATGTTCTTGGACAGAGATCCCCTCATTTTCAACTTCCAAACAGATCGAACAAGTTATTATACTAACCCAGCCCTCATGGTTTCCAACCATGAACTAAGACATGTAGTGCCTGATCGCTTCCAGAATATGAAGGAAAAGATGAAGAAGAAAACCATTCTGCCTTCCTAGTTCCCAGACATTCATCACATATCATAATCCCTTGATCTTCTCCCCTAAACACTCTCCATCGTCCTCTGGTTTACTAGTAGCCCAACCAAAGTTTTGAACACAACGGAAAACTTTTGAAGTGCCTTCCCTCCCTGTAGACAGCCATATTGTAGGAAGACATGGCAAGTTCAGGTTCTTCAATGGCTGTCTCATGCCAAAGAAGGAAAATCAACTAAGACTTCCTCTTGAAAGATCTTGCACAACGACATCAACCTTATCTTCTTCACATCCCATAAACAAATCCAAGATTCTAAAGAGTCAAAATGTACAATAGAGAATCAGAGTGTGCATAACCCTAATAACAAGATATGAAACCCATGAAATGCTAAAGATAGTAATTTGAAATGCATTTATGCATATGAGAAAACACATTTTTTTCTGGCTGATTCCTAAATATAGTTAGTCAACTATGCGAATCTTCTCTTTCACCAAGCATAGTGAGATAACCAAGCAACCAAGAAAGGAATAATGAAGTTGGCTGTTTTTGCACAAGGGTGCGGCAAAAAGAAAGCTCAGTTTCGTTCAGGTAAATCAAGATCATCCTAGCATATAATGAGATGCCCAGATACCTCCAGCAGTCCAAATAGTCATAAGAAGGAGCAGGTTGCCCTACCTTGAGAAAAGAGACAAGTAGCTCTTTATATGCGCATTCTGCTTTATGATTTCGTCTAAGATAAGAAAGACGGCGAGACCCTCCCCGAGTGCTTCAAAGGCTGTCCTCAGTTTCAGGTTCTTGATCGAGTTCAACGGCCGGACGTTCTTGTCACGAAGAGAATAGACGGAATTAAGCTGCTGCAGCAAATTCCCCAAAACGTCCCTCATCCTGATCGTGGTTTCACGCAATTGCATGAACAGAGACAGCGATTCTCCAAACGCCTTCTGCGGCTCCCCTTCAAGAAGCACCTCCTGCGGACTCGATCGATGGCCGAACAAGTGCAACTGGCGGTACAAGTTCCTAGAAGCCTAACCGACAGACTCGGGCATCAAAACTGCCGTTCTTGGATACAGGAGGGGAAAGAGGGGAAAGAAAACGGAAAATATTGATCGCTCTCTTGGAAAGAATAGGGTCACACCAGATTGCTGAGATTGGAGATCTCGATGCAGTCGTAGGAGAGGACCATGACGAACTTCGAGACGGCGACGTTATCGGATTGGAGGAGCAAGGAGAGATGGGAGTGCTCGACGGGCTCGACGTGGAGGCGAACCGGATCGGAACCGGAAGCGGCCGGCAAGGACGAAGCGGAATCGAAGGGGTCGCCGCATAGGTCGGCGAGCAAGGCGTTGCTTCGGACGAGGCATTCGTCGACCACTTGTCGGAGCCTCTCCTGCTGTTCTAAAAGCACTGCAGGAGATCAAAGAAAAAGATACAGGAAGGACAAACTTAGAAAGAAGGAAAAAGAAACCGAGAACGCGAGGGGAAAGGGAGGCAGGCAGCTCACGAGACGCCATCGCCGGCCGGTCGGTGGCCACAGATGTCGGTACCAAGATTCGAGTTCTTGAAGACGGTAACAAACACGGCATCTGTAACGCAGCATTTCCGGGTCGGATCCGATGAACTATAAGATCCAATAAAAGAATTCCAAGATTTAGATCCGGGCCTTAAACCGATTGGACCGGGGCTCAACGGACCGGCCCGGTCCGAATCAGGTCGAGTCGGGGACAGTTGAAGCACTTGACCAGGCTCCAAATCCATCCTCAGTCCAATAAAACAGAGCCCAATTCTGACCCTCGATGGTGAAGCTACATTAGAGATTATGAATGAAAAGTAAATGGAAAATATACAAGCACAGAAAGAAGCTCTTATAAATATTTACATTTTTGTTCGACATCAAATGTCATCACAGGAATGAGTTGTAAAAATCAAAAGATGGCCCATATGAAACAGAAAATAAAGGACTGTCGGATAGATTACTGTCATGTACAAATGATTTCAGGAATCATTTTGAGTGTCTTGCATTCATTTCTGATTTTTGGGCTTGCCGAGGCTATCAGGCAAATGCCCTGATAGTAAACATAAAGCAAGCTACAAAGCAATGATAGATTAGACGTCCAAACAGCAGATGTTGTGCTGCAGAGTTGAAGATGATGGTGGTCCTGTACTGTTTATACGCTTGCAGCCGAAGCGAGGCCAAGGAGCATCAGGAACTCCTGACAGTCACCAACTGCTCATCAACTTCCAGTACGCTCCAAAGCATCCTACACAGCATTTTGCAAGAACAGAACAATCAGTACTTCCTTCAGCTACCTCTGCATCGGTCTGGGTTGAGAATATCAATTACCAAAATAGAGACATCAGGAGGAGACCGACGACACTCACTACTTTGAACAAGCGCCTTTTCTTTTCTCGGTTAATCTGGTTAAATACCTCAGTTACATCAATTAGATGCTGGCGACGCTGATACCTAAGAGAATAGAACGGTGCCCAGCACGCAACAAATTCTTGAATTGGAACATGGAAGTTTGGCATTGTAGTAAAGATTAATAAATGCAAATGCTGAAGTAGAGTTAGCAACTTACAGTCTGAAGTTGTAGTAAAGATTTGGAACGCAAAACAAGAACATTAACCAATGCCCAGATAAGAGAAAGAGTAGGCACAAGGATCCTTGCAAGACAAACTCTGGAACTATCACTTTATTTATCTGCGATGCTGAATCATATGGATTGATACAGTCAAACTCTAGGTCTGCCAAACTCATAAGCTGCAAAAGATAATACAGTGTCAATATAAGATAAACCTGGAGCTTTCATTTTCCTGAAGCAAAAAAAAATTGTCAGGAAGCATGATAGGCTGAGTGGAACGTATGTGAGTATAAACATATCAAGTATAGAACGTGATTATAAACAAAACCTGCATAAAAATGAGATGGTGCAAAAATCTGCATAAAAATTATATAGAATAATCTGCTGATTCCAGCGCCAAATAAGTTACATCCATGCAAAATAGAGAAAGATTCACGAGAACATTCAGCAAAAGCAATAACAATGAAGTACGCTTCTGGTAAGCTAAACTCCAGCTCCATTTGCAAGATTTGGCTCGATATGATCGTTAGCAACAATATTCTATTGTCCTCGGTGCTACTGCACCAGGTTGTTCCTTTCCTACCCCCATAACTTAATGTCAATGGAACCAGTTGCACCATTTGCAGACAATGTTTGCCACGACTAAGCAGATCTGATTGGAACTGGCACTGCCATAACTTAATATCATCTCCGTTCTTACGCTTCCACTACCAACCCAACTGGTCTTTCCATCATAATCAAAAATCAAACTTCATATATACTTTTTAAGCTTTAACCAGGGGCTTGATCCTAGTTTGGTCATGTAAAATGTCTTTTCTCCTTTTTTTTTAATCTATTTGGCTCATCAGTACATGGGTTTTTCCTAGTAATGACCTCAACATAAAATCCCATTTGTCTCTCATCTAGTATTATACAAACTTGAATAATAAGCCCCTGAAATGCATGGGGCTACACTATTGTACATGGACTAAAGCAAACTATGGAGTCTGAGAGCATCCAAGATACTTCTAATGCAACTAAATAATTGAAATAGTTAAGAAAACTTCCCCTGGTTAGACCTGTTCACTTATATGATATAATCAAATTTAGTAGCTCAAGCAATTCTAAACCACAAATCAATCTTTTTTATCTAAAATATGAATAATACTTTCTAAGTAGTACAAGAAACATGCTCTAGTATTTGATAGGGCATATTTTGATACCAGCCCCACGGCAACAATCAGCAGCCACATCAGCGCTAACACGAAGCCTCAGGGCTGATATCGTACATTGCGTCGACGTGACACCTCGAACTCAGATGGGACGATCGCTTGTTCCCACGTTGTCCGAGACAGTACGAGATAACGTCGCATACAACAAAGCTACTCCAGAAAGCTCAGAACGGCGCTGCGGTGCGGATCCATGCAGGTCAATCGACGCTTGCACAATGTACAAGACGGCCACCCGAGGAGTCAACCGCTATTAATAGATCATGTATGTCCAACCCTCATTTGCAGGTATAAAAGCCAACCCCCTGATCGGCGTCAAGGGGAGGATCTCGAACACTTCAACTCTACTTAACCCCACTCAACACTGACTTATGCTTCGGAGGGGTCGAGTCGAGAAATCTCCCTCTCGACTTCGGCCTGTGTTCAGGAACTTAGTGAGGGAGAAAGAGCAACTCCTTGCTCTACCTTGGATTAATTCTAGAGACGAAGCTCGAACCGAATCTGACATCGATCACCTCCGTTTGAGCATCCATGTGAGTCACTTTGCATACTCGAGATTGGACCAAGTCGTGCTGATCCATTAGCGACGACATAAAGTTCTCCAACAGTATTCACTTCCATCAAATTCTCTAAGAAGGTGCACAAATAGTACTTCACTATGAAGTAAAAATCAAAATCTCAAATAATACAACTGGCAGATTACTTGTTTCCCCATCTTCAGATAAACCAACCCCTCGCACTTGTTTCCCCATCTTTACGAAGATGCACAAATCTTATCTGGTTAATCTAGTCATGAAGCTAAAGATAGGCAATAATACAACTGGCAGATTACTTGTTTCCCCATCTTCAGATAAACCAACCCCTCGTAGAGACAACTGAAGGTTGATGCATGACAGCAACTCAGATAACATTGCATGACGTGAAAAAGGACAATCGTATGTTTTAAGAGTTCCAACCCAAACAAACAGCTTCTGGCCTCTCGCAGACTTGAAGAAACGACAAGGAAAGAAAAAGAATCGGTGCCGGAGTCGATCAAAACAATAACAGGAGGAGTCCAAAATAAGATTAAAAAGAGAAGAAAGAGAGGGAGATGGAGATGGAAACGACCATCCCCTCAAAGTTTGGATCTTCCCTGCTGCGGTCGTTTGAACGAAGGTAAAGATCGAAATTTTAGTGGTCTCAGCGGGAGGAGAGGTAAGGCGATACCTGGTAGATGACGAGAACGAGGAGGAAGACGAGGAGGAAGAAGGCGGCGAGCCAAACATACACCATTCTGCTTCCAGCCCGCCGATCACGCGCGACGACGCTCCTAATCGCTCCCCGCCTATATATCCTCGAATCGGACACCGACCGCGCCGGGCGGAACCATTCAAGGGGACCTTGAAGGCATAGGAAAAGATAGGGAAGAGAGAGAGAGATTCCAACAGCCGTATCTAAGTGGCATTTCCCTTTTATCTGCACTATAATTAGAGAGTGGCGCTCAGCAATGTTCATGGTTGTCAGCCTTAGCGAAGATCATGATAACTATTCGTAAGGGTTTGAATCAAATTATGCCAGGCTTGTACCGGGGATTCAAAATTTTACTAAAACAAGATAAGCTCTGATATTTTGAAAGAACAAAAAAGTTCTAAAATACCTACATGATTAGGAAACCTCGTAATTATATTTTTCAACCAATAAATTTTCTATTAATTCTTGAAAAAACTTCATTTTTCCAATATTGAGAAAATTGAATTTATGCACAGAATAACATGTAAGTATCAAACCCTAGCAATTATCATCATTTTCTTCCGAGCTATTCAGTTTATTAATTTTAACACTATCAAACCATGCGAGGTAGAATACCTAATGAGCACCTCTCTCTTTTGCCAACCACTTGCATTGGCAACGCCTTTACAAATAGTCATAAAGTAAACACTTGTTATCTGGTTATGTTTGGTTGTTGTACACTCTCCGGAAAACAATGTTTTATGAAAATTCAACAGCAAACAAATGGAAGTATTTGAAGCATCCAATCGTTCATGCACAGGAAATATTCTGAGCTAATTTAGTGCCTTAGTTGCAGTTGCAGAGACCTATGTTGACTGTTTCAGCCCCAGGACAACTGCGTCGCTTTATTGTTTCCAGGAACAATGCCACTGCCTGCTGTGGTCAACCATCAATGTATTCTACCCAGTAACATTTTAACAGTTTACCAACTAATTATGGTTAGTCCAGAACTTAGAATTATTCACGGAAAAGATCCAGCATGTGATACCCAGAAGTTGCCGACAAGCATCAGTCTAGGAGAAGAGTTTTCTTTATCGTTCTGCAGAATCGAGGATTCATCCTCATTCGAATCTGGATGGCACAAAGCTTTGAAGCGTAAGCTGACTACATCGTTTAGGCTTCTTGTTGTGTGTATTCCCTTCTCCGCTCATCTCTAAAACTATTATCTTCCCCCGGAAGAAGCAATTCCATTTCTGAAATTTTAGGCAATGTTTGGCGAGAAAAATGAAGGATTAAGCTGCCTTTACCATCGCATAAGGTGTTACAACACAAACAGTAGCAACAATGGTGCAGAAAATGTAACAAGTTCAGCTGGACGCAATATAACAAATTGAAGAATGCATTAGTTAAATCTTATGTATCTCATTGGCAGGCTGATAAGACCCTAGGGTTTTATCACGAAAGAAAAGGGAAAAAAGGGGATGATCACTTCGAGGGAATCGGCCTCCTAGGTTTGTTAAAAGACGGAATAATATTTCATTGCTTTCCGAAAAGAAACAATTATATCCCTATAGAGTTCCACCCTGAGTCCACCAAGACTTGGACTCTTAATAATAAATAAATATTAAATAAACCTCTATCCGACTCTTATCGAACTAAACAAACTCAACAAAACATTATTCAAAAGCTCAGAAAATAAAGGGATCCTAACAATTCCTCCCTCTTCAAATCAACCTTATCCTCAAGGCTGAGCAACATGGGGAGTTTCTCTTTCAATACTTCAGTCACAGGGTATTTGCAGCACATCACAACCGATTGATCAAGTAAGTATGGCCTCCACTTCTTGATAGTATAAGCAATAGGTTGGCCTTTCAGTTGATAGCCATTCAATTTCAAGCACAACTTCGAAGTTTTCCAAGTATAACAAAAAGAAGTCTACAAGCAACTCTTGGCCCTGCAAAGTCAATTTAATCTTTGAGCACTTGCTATCACAGGTTAAAATTCGTCCATCGGCGACCTTTACTTCAAATTTGTTATAGTCTTCAATGTGGTAGGCCAATCGATCGGCAACCTTACTGTCCATAAAATTATTAGTGCTACCAGTATCAATCAAAACTGTAACATGTTGATGTTCCAAAGTTTCTCCAACTTTCATAGTTTGCGGGTTAGAGTAGCTAACTAATGCATGCACTGTATGTATGATAGGTCCAACATCGTCATCAGAATCCATACCTTCATGATCGGAGTCCACATTGTTAGCTTCCGGTTCCTCCTCAATTGGTTCAATCATAAGAAGTTGCCCTTGTTTACATCGGTGCTTCCTACTCCACTTTTCATCATAGTGCCAGCACAAACCCTTCGCTGATCTTTCCTTGAGTTCTTCTCGGGTTAGCCTTTGAGTGTTAGAGTTCCAGTTGGGAACAGATGGGGTGGGTGGCTTGTTGATCATTTGTTTGTTGTCACTTCTGTTTCGACGATTTTCCCTGCTGATTTTTTCCTCATGTAAATGTGTAAATGATATTACGGTTATCATAGTGCGTGGTTGGCGAGCTTTGACTTCATACCAGATATCTGAATTAAGTTCTTCGATAAATGTACCCATCAGTTGTCGTTCAGACCTGCTCTGATATTCCAACACTGTAGAAGTCTGACAAATTTTGGCGAGCTGTCCATCAACATTCTCATATTCAGATGGTCCAAAGCGAACAAGAAGCCCTCACTTGAACTGCTCCCATAGATTACTCCATGGGAAGTTTCGTACCAATTATATCATTAGATTGTACCCCCATCTAGTTGGATTGAGGCAATTTCCACCTTGGATTCTTTTGGGGTTATGTGAAAACGAAAAAAAAATTCTGCCCTAGAGATCCAATTGGTTGGATCCCCATCTTCCAATCTTGGAAATTCCACCTTCATGCGTGGATAGCTTGTGTCTTGTTCTTGGTTCCTTCTTCCTATATCTCCAGATCGGTTCAATGTAAGACTTGAACTTTCATCTCGTTGAAACTTGTTGAAGCTCTCCAATAGACTCTTTTTAAAATTATCAAGGGTTTCTTGCAGTCGGTTCTCAATTCTGGTTTTCAATGCTTCGATGTGGGCTTTTATTGAGTTGTTTGTAGTCATTGCGTAAGACTGCAAATCTGTAATCTCAACTCTTGTTTCTGGTGTCAGGACAAGGGCATCAACACTGCCCTATTTAGTGCAGTTGATGTGACACAATCGGTGGCAGCACTGTGGGAGTGAGGGGTTGCTGTGAGGATGCGGGGATATAGCTGTGGTCACTGCATGGGAGGCAACGATGCTTGCTGCGGTCGTTGCGTGGAGGGATCGCTGCTGTTGAGAACTGGGAGATAGCAATGGTGGTGCGGTTGGGGGCAGTGCCACCGAGGGCTCGCTATTGCGGTGGCTGCGGTAGTTGAGGACTAGGCTGTGGCGACGCGGATGGAAGGCAGCATTGCCCTGTCTCTATCGCACCGCAGAAGGAGGCGCTGGCGACGCCGAAGGATCGCAGACGGTTAGGAAATAGCGACGGCTGCAACGACGCAAACGGGAGGCAGCGTTGCCCTGTTTCTGTCGTACCACGGAAGGAGGCGTTGGCGACGCCGAGGGATCACGGGCGATTGAGGAAACAACGGCGGCTGCGACGGTTAAGGACTAGGCTGTGGCGGTTGCAATCGATGCTGACAACGAAGAGGGGAGGAAACAACGATAGCTGTAGCTGCGACACAAGGGGAGGCAACGATGGTGATGCAACTAGGCAGTGTCGCCGATGGTAGAAGTGACGAGGGGGGTGGTCCGCTGGTCGGGAAACAGCGGCCGTAGCCCTTCTCGCTCGAGCAGGGTGAGGCAGCGAGGAGGGAAGGTTGCTAGCCGGGGAGCAACGACGGCAGTGGAGAGGTGAGTTGCCCTATCCGAGAAACATCGATGGTGGTGGAGAGGGGAAGGTTGCTGGCCGGGGAGCAGCGATGGCGGTGGAGTGGTGAGTTGGCACCGACGGTGGTGGAGAGGGGAAGCCAGGGTTCTCGATCGAGAAGGATTAGCGTGCATGGCTGTCGGCTTTTTTTTTTTTTTTAGATGATGATAAATGCAGCGAGAATGCCGAGGATCGTTGCTCTGATTGAGGGGATCGGCCTCCTTGATCACTTCGAGAGGATTAGCCTCCTAGGGTTTGTCAAAAGACTGAATAATATTTCATTGTTTTCCGAAAAGAAACAGTTCCACCCAGAGTTCACCAGGACTTGGACTCTTAATAATAAATAAATATTAAATAAATCTCTATTCAACTTTAATCGAACTAAATAAACTCAATAAAATAATATTCAAATGCTCAGAAAATAAAGAGATCCTACGTCAGGGTTTGAAACTATTTGGTCAACCACAACTTGTAACGATGAAAAGCAATGAATAGCAAAGTCAAAGGAATAGAGTAGCATACCTGACTCTCCGGAGGACTGATTGGATCATGATAGACAGGTGGACATGAGTTTTTCAAGGACTTTTGAGGAGTTGACATGAGTTTTTGAATGACAAACTTTTGAGTGGTGGAAGAACTAGAACTTTAGAGACAACAAACATCACCAGAATTTAAATGCTCTGAATCTTCGCCCAATTTATATCAGTGTAGATTCTGTCCAGCAACAGTATTTCAGTCACAACACAAGTTGAAACTCGTCGATGTTGATGGTAAACTGTCAATGGAGTATAACACCACCCATGTAACAACCTGGTGGTGCATTTTCCGCAAACATTTTATGAGCAGACCTGCTCAGAATTTGAAATTCCTGCTGAATGATGCATCATCTACTTTCAAAAGCTAAACATGTCATGGGCATCATGGAAGTGCATGCAATCTACGAATGCATAACATCTGAGAGAATGACTCCATTGTTATCACTAAGGAATTGTTTTGCAGCCGTCGCATCATCTGGCATCAACCTAACCAAAAGCAGAGGGACCTATGTTGGTTCTACCCAGCTACATCCTGGCATCTTATATAATCCTTTTGCTTCCATCATCTTTCTCAGTCTCTTAGCCTTCTCCCATTTTCCAGCTTCGGCATAGAGACCAGCTAACAGGAGATAATAACCGCTTTCTTCAGGCTTCATCTTAAAGCAATTCCTGGCAGCAAGCTCCCCAAATTCTATGTTGCCATGTAACCTAGAAGCCAGAAGTAAGGCTCCCCAGACACCCACATGAGGCTGCATTGGCATCTTCCTGATCAACTGATAAGCTTCTTCCAACCTACCACTGCGACCAACAAGATCCACGATGATTGCATAGTGATCCACTGACGGTGCAACTTTATGCTTTTTGGACATAGAAGCAAAACATCTACGGCCTTCCTCAACCAAACCAGCATGGTTATATGCTGTCAGAAGCCCAACAAATGTTGCTGCATTTGGGGAAACCTTTTCATCCAACATCTTTTGAAACAATTTGATTGCATCATTGGATCTCCCATTGATACCACACCCCAAAATTATCGCACTATAAGACACTAAATCCCTCCTCCTGAATCCACTGAAAAGCTCAAAAGCTTTGTCCATGCCACCACACTTAGAGTACAAATCCACAAGAGCAGTCCTCAAGTGATCATCCAATTCAATTCCCAACAAGCGCATATACTCCTCGATCCACAACCCAAATCTCAAATTCCCCAACTGCGAACAAGCTGATATAACGCTAGAAAAAGTCATCTCGTCTGGCTCAACACCTGAATCTGGCTTTCGCATCCTATTGAATGACTGAATAGCCTCTCTAGGGCATCCATTCTGCGCATAGCAAGCAATCATCGCGTTCCATGCATAAAGATCCTTCTTTTCCATCTGATCAAAAATCTCCCACGCAGATGCAACATCACCGCACCTTGTGTACCCAGAGATCATCGCAATCCAAGAAACATTGCTTCTGACAGGCATTTCCTCAAAGAACTCCCTCGCCATCCCCATATCCCCACGGTTAATGTACCCGCTAATCATCCCATTCCACGAAGCAGGGTTCCTCTCTGGCATGCAATCGAATAATTCAGCCGCACTGTCCATGTCCCCAGCTTTGGCATACCCCGATATGATCGAATTCCAGGAGATCACATCTCTTACGGGCATCTCATCGAAGACTCTCCGAGCGGCCTCCAATTCTCCTGCTCTCATGTGCATGGAGAGGATCGAGTTCCACGAGACGACGTTTTTCACAGGCATTCCGTCAAATATCTTCCGCGCGGCTTCCATGCCATCGAGCTTAGAGTAGAGGTCGGCGAGCGCGGTCTGAGCGTAGACGTGGGAGTCGAAGCCGAGTTTTTGGAGATGGCCGTGAATGGCGACGGCGAGGGGCTTCGAAGGAATTCGAGCGCAGGCCTTGAGGGCGGCTGCAGCGGCGAAAGGATCGGGGCGGCAGCCGGAGCGTAGCATGTGAGCGTACAGGTAGACGGCGCGGCGGGAGCGGCCAAGGTCCGCGGCGGAACGGATCGCCTGAGTCCACGACGACAAGGATGAAGAGGAAGAGGAGAAGGAGGCGAGGCGGCAGTGGCGGCTGGGAAATGCTCGTTTGGCCGTCCACGGCACCGGCATGTCTTGGGCGAAGTCGATGACGTAAAGATGACGGCGACAGAGAGTGCGAGAGGGACAAAAACTTCTTGCGCTGCTTCGCGTTCCGACTATCCTCCATCAAAGACGAGGGCGACGAGGAACGCCAGAACGTTGAGCGTGGGCACGTCTCCGAAGTCTACGCTTCATCTACGTGTTTCTTGGGCCGCCAAGCCGCAAGTCATGTGAGTATTTGTAAGACTCTTTTTTTTTATTATTGAAAATGACAATTACGGAAATAGGTCGGCGTCGTTGGTCAACTGCCAACCGCAACTACATCGTCAAACGAGGAACATGATTGGATGAAGCTGACGGTTCCTCCCTAGCCTCGTAGAACCTCCTCCCACCACTTAAATTTGAGGAGACCGGTCACCACCACTCACCCTCTCGTTTCTTATCCATCTCTGCTTCTCTCTCTCTCTCTCTCTCTCTCTGCGCGACAAGGAAAATGGCCATCTCTGCCGGAAAGGAAACCTTCCTCGGTTACTCACAAGACCGAGTTAACCCCATCTTTTGCCACCGAGCCATCATGACCACCTCCTCAGGTATCTGGATCGGCGACAATCCCCTCAACTTCACCTTGCCCACCCTCATTTTTCAGATCGTTATGGTGTTCTTCATCTACCGGGCTACGCACGCCGTCTTCCGCCTATTCGGCCAACCCATCCACGTCTCCCAAATCGTGGTAGTTAATCAAAACCCCACATGCATGATATCCGCCTTATGTACCGCATGAATTATTTGCATCTTCTTGTTGACGTGATGCAGGCGGGAATTATATTAGGCCCCAGCATCCTTAGCCGAGATGCGAAGTTCGCGAAATCGATCGTTTCTCAGAAGAATTATGAGAGTGTGGTCACCATATCCATCATTACCTACATGTTGTTCTTCTTTGTGATCGGCGTCAAGGCAGACCTTGGCGTGATTCCCAAGGTTGGGAAGAAGGCGGTGGCCATCGCAATATTCAGCACCCTGCTCCCCATCGTGTTTATCTACATCACGGCCCTCTGCCTGAGGCATAAGATCCCTCCCCGATTCATACAGGGTCAGCTGATCCTCCTCTTGACCGACACATGGTGCATCACGTCGTATCCTGTCCTGTCGTGCCTCCTCAGCGAGCTCAATCTCCTCAGCTCCAAGCTCGGCCGCCTCGCCATGTCGGCCACCCTCATCGCCGCCATCGTGCACGTGATTGCCAACTCCGCCATCGTCACGTACCAGCTGGCCATCAAGATCGGCAACCCGCTGCAGGGGGTGACGGCACTAGTGTCCTTCTTCGCCTTGATGGGACTCATCTTGCTCGTCCTGAGGCCGATCGTGCTCTGGCTCATAAGACGGACGCCGGAGGGGGCACTTCTGGACCAGGTGAGCTTCGTGGCGGTAGTAACCATGGCAATGGCGTGCGGGATGCTGAGCCAGATGATCGGGTTCGACCTCATCGTTGGACCCTTCTTCTTCGGGCTGGTGCTGCCTGGGGGACCGCCGCTGGGGTCCACTCTGGCTGAGCGCATGGACAGGTTGGTGATGGGATTGTTCCTGCCCATGAGCATGGCTTTTGTCGGAATAAGGACGGACCTCACATCGGTGGTGGACATTAAGGTCTGGTGGCTATTCGAAACGTTTGTGTTGGTGATCACAGTGGCTAAGTTCGTGGGGGTGATCCTGCCATGCCTCTACTGCCGGATGCCGCCCCGGGAAACCGTATCTCTTGGGCTTATGCTGTCCGCCAAAGGCCTTTCTGAAGTATATTCCCTCATCATGTGGGCGGAGAACTTCGTGCGTACGCAGCCACCAACTGCAATCATGCATGCATGCATGTTGATTAGGACCGGAAAACACGTTGCTAGTTTTTCTTCTACGATTCCGTAAATTATGTTTACTTTTCTTCTTCAGGACTTCTCCTTACAACATGCAGGTCACCAAATGCTAACCTAGATGAAAATTGATATCGAGGAACTCAGATTTTTGAATAAACATTGCAACATTATTATTCTCAATACCATCGCCGTCACAGTACTCATCCACCACCATTCGCACTGCAAACGCTAACCAGGATGAATTTTTTGTCTATGCATGTGATCGCAGCTCCTGGAGAGGCAGGAATTCAGCATGGTCGTCATCACCATTCTCATCTTGGGCGGCATCACCACCCCTCTGATCAAGTATCTGTATCGCCCGGAGGACCGCTACGTGGCACACAAGCGCCGCACTCTCCAGCACGCCAACCCCGGCGACGAGCTTCGCGTCCTTACATGCGTCCATCTTCAGGACAACGTCAAACCCATCATCACCCTCCTCGAGGCCTCCGGCACCTCCCCCGACTCACCCATCTGCACCTACCTCATCCACCTCATCCAGCTCGTCGGCCGGACCGACACCGTCCTACACCCCCACAAGCGCCATAACCATTCCTCATCCGCAACTGCCCTCTCAGAGACTGACCACATCGTCAACGCCTTCCGGCTGTTCGAGCAGGAACACCCGGATGGCTTGTCGGTCCTCCCTTACGTCTGCATTTCTCCTTACAACACCATGCACGACGATATCTGCTCCCTCGCCCTCGACAAGAAGGTCACCCTCGTCATCCTCCCCTTCCACAAGAGCGCACTTGCCGACGGTAGCATCAGCTTCGTGAGCCCTTCAGTCCAGGCTGTCAACGTCAACGTGCTCCAGTACGCGCCCTGCTCCATCGGCATCCTCGTTGACAACGGGTTCCCCGGTCGCTGGTCGGTGATTCGCCGCGTGGCGGTCTACTTCCTGGGCGGAGCCGACGACCGGGAAGCTCTGGCCTACGCCATGCGCATGGCAAAAAACGCGGCCGTTGGGCTCACGGTGGTGCGGTTCCTCGCGCCCAAGGAGTTGCGAGAGGAAGGGCAGGAGGAGAGGATGGACGACAAGATGCTGGAGTACTTCCAGCACCAGACGGTGGACGGGAAACGGGTGGTGTACAAGGAGCAGGTGGTGAAAGACGGGGAAGAGACGGTGGCGGTGATCCGCGAGACGAGCCCCGAGTTCAGTCTGTTGATCGTGGGGCGAAGGGAGGGGAAGGAATCCCTGTTGACGTCAGGGATGTCGATATGGAGGGAGTACCCGGAGCTAGGGGTTATCGGGGACCTGCTGGCGTCGACCAACTTCGGCGGCCGGGTGTCTACGCTTGTGGTGCAGCAACAGGTGAGGGTGACGGGAGCAGCGGCGCAAGCCGCGGACGGCCCCAAGGTCGCTCCAACTGTTGTGCAGGTAGAACCAGAACCCGACAACTACTAATACATGACCTGATGAGAGTTACACTAATTAGATTATATCTTTCTTATCGCTTAATTATTATCAGGTAGTTGATTCTTCTTCTGTGAGTCACGTGAATGATTGATCCGTGAGGTGGTACGAGGTTGAGCAAGGAGACCATGCTGATGAAGGTTTTCCTTCTCACCTTGTTCTGTATTTTGTTCTGAAGCCTTTCATTGTTCAGCTGCAGCTACTCCGTTTCCTTGCAGCATTTCGATGTGTAGATCAAGAAATGAATCATGTCTCTGTTTGAGACACGATGTCCTAGCGATTAGTGCACCATTGAGTCTTATGTTTGAGTTTGGATACGAACTCACTGTATAGAGTTTAAATGTAATGGATCATTTCTTGAACTTATTGGACTCACTTTTTGAAACAGAGAAAGAGGAAAAAGAAATAGATTTTGGGAACCCGCAGCGAAGTATAGACATCACGGGATTCGGATAGACACGCAGCGTGCTTGTTGTATATGGTTTGATTACGAAACGGATGTAATTTATTCTTTCTAGTAGCTTCTCACAGTATCATCAAGTGACAGGCTTCGTGATGTCTATTCTTTCGTTTTATCTGTTGATAATATTTATAATATCATGGATGATTGAAAACGTCAAATTACATACAGGTTTAGCTTATAACCTGTAGGTTTAAGCTTTTTATATTGAATTAGTGTTTGATATGATATATATTATGGATTGGACCGGTCATTATAAGATTCTAACATGGTGTTAATTTTTTTAAAAATAAGATAGTCTCACATCACTAATGATAAAAAAAAAATTATAAATATCAATGTCAATTTTAAGTATATTTTATTGTAAAAAGTATAGTCCTTAAATACAAAAAAAATTAATAATAAATTTGAATATAAGATTAAGTTGTAATAATAGACATACATATACAGTAACTAGAAGTGATAGTTGAATTATAATCGACAATCTTAGGGCTTAAATGAATTTAATCATGATTAAAGTGAGAAAGTTTGAATTGTAAACATTAAATATAGAAAGGATAATAAACTACTTATGAATGGATGAAGTAATAAAAAATTAAATAGAGATGAAAATTAAAGATAAATATTATACTAAAAATATTAAGATACTTAATTAAGATTGAATAATGATTATAGACCAAAAATATTATCATTTTTCAATGATATTAGATTATATTGAAATTACTATAATATTAAAATTATATTAACAAAAGAATATGAAATGAGGTCTAATGAGATTGAAGTCTACATCTCAATATAACCTCTTAAGTACTTTTACCTTATTTTTGACCTAACCCGTCTTACCCACCTGATAATCTATGGTCATGTTAGGATCTTTTTATTTTTTTAGCTTTTGAATAGTATTTTGTTGAGTTGTTTAATTCAATAAGAGTTTGATAGAGGTTTATTTATTATTTATCTATTATTAAGAGTCTAAGTAACTTTGGTATAACTCTATAAATAGGGATGTAATTATTTTTTTTGAAAGAAATAAAATATTATTTAGTCTTTTAACAAATCTTAGGAGGTCGATCCCTTGGAAGTGATCATCCTCTTTTTCCCTCTTTTTCTACGATAAAACTTTAGGGGGTTTAATCAAACCATTTCTCTTTTATTTCAGTTATCTTCTTGGCTTTTCACTATGTTTTTATAGAGGCTAAAATACTCTAACTCTAAAAAATAATTGTGATAAAAAGAATTCAATTCTTCTCTTGTTATGCCTAGAATTTTAATTTTATAAATTATAGAATGATTTTTTCACTTACTTTCGAGTAACTAAGGCTTTAAATTAATATTTAATTTTTAGATATATTTTATAACCATCAATAATTTTCTCTCTTAATATAAATTAATTACTATAAAATAATATGTTATTTTATTTAGAATATTAACTTTCTTGTTTGTGTAGTATTGTTAAAAAATGATTAAAATTAATTTTCTTAATCATGTGAACAAGTTAGAAATTTTACCAATCAATTAAATTATTAATTAATTTATTTCTTAATAAATTATGTGATTTTTGGGAAGTAAATAGTTTATATTATATTTTTGTGTGTGAACCCTAAAAAATAAATATTATATTTCTATATTTGTATACGAAAGTAAAATAAAAATAAATTTAAAAAAATTATTACTTACCTTTCAAGGATAATTTATCTGTATAAATAAAGCTTCATCTCATTTATTCCTCATCGAGCTTGGAATGATTGAGGATAGAATTTCCCAAAAGAAAATCATTGAGGAGAGATGACATCCTTTATTCTTTTATAATTTCATGTTTTTAAATCTTTGATATTAAGATTATTATAAATTTATAATACATAATAATATTTTTAATTTTTTTAATTTTATGATTAATTAATAAATAATAATTAATTTATGATCTTCAAATGATTATTTGACTTATAATGATTTCTTAAGTTTAAGTAAAATTTAAGATTAATTTAATTACAAAAATCTTTATTTTTGTTAATAAAATGATTTTAATTTATTTAACTATATGTATTTATGTTTCAAGAATTATATATGAATGTCTATCATTTAATTAGTTTTAAATTTCAGATTATGAATTTAAATTCTTTACTTCATGGATTTAAGTTACTTTTTAATAATTTAAAATATTAAAATCTAATTTGATATGAGGGGTCTAATTGGGGTTTGATCTAAGTCAAGTTAATCTGCTTGATTAGGTCAATCCAACCTTTATAGTTATGTGGTAAAGTATTACTAGTCATAGGTGTCTTACAAGTCAATTACGTAAGTGATGACACGTGTGATATGATACGTACTATTTTTTCTTATTATTTATTTTATATTTTTTTCTTACTTTATATTATCTATTGTATATATTGTGATGTTCATGGATCTGTGCGATGAGAATTAGATATTACGATAATGAGATTGATTCACTTTTAAACACAAACCCTAAATAATCCCGATCATATATCACTCGAGAGGGATATCGAGATAACCGGACAGACTGGTATATTGTATACACATCCATATGATGAAGGCGGCTAGTCTAATAGTTGCTCATATAGAGACATTAGGGATACGGTGCAAGTGCTCATTGAAAAATGAGTTCACTGATTGATCCGCTCACGGAATGTTAAATGGTTGATGATGCCTCATTGTCATATAGTGATTCTGTCATCTCATTGGTGTATTTGTCCTTAGACTTAAGACACAATGGATATCCTGTATAAGTACTCCAATCTTTCAGAACGAACTTATAGATTTGGAAGTTTCAGATATAATACAAATGGTCATCGGGAGTGGCAACCAACCTTAAGAGAGCTATTGAGTGTCGATAGAGGATTATCCGCTCTCGATATTATGAGAGGAATATCTTATATGTTCTTGCTCAGACAAATCCATAGTCAAGGTCATTCGGATTTAGAGAGAAAGAATTCTCTGGAAGAAATCAATTAGAGTGCGACTCGAGGAAAAACCGTATGAGCTTGACAACACCATGTCCAATGTATGATCTCTAGGATATTAGATGGATAAGGGACTATAAGAACATGATAATTGAGGATTGATAGGTCCAAAGGATTGGATTCCCCTTATATCATTTAGGGACTGTGGCGTAGTGGCTTAGTACGTCTATAGTCGATAAGTCGAGTGAATTATTATATGGATAATAATCCACTGAGCCAGAAGGAGTTCTGAAGGGTATAACTCATGACTAGCTCGATATTGAGTCTAGAGGATCACACACATATGATAGGTATTGCGACGAGTAGAGGTTCGGATATAATATATCCGCTAGAGCCCATATATTATTGGATATCCAATAAACCTCTGAATTATTGGATCATGTAGATGAGATCTAATAAAAGCTAATTAGAGATTATTGGATAGAGATCCACTAATATAATATGCTTGGGTAGTTGGATGAAGATCCAATACTCAATATGGCAAGATCCATTAGGGTTAAGTTGATATGAGGCCTCTATAAATAGGAGAAAATCAAAGGGTCATAGGCTAGATCCCTTTTAACTATCACTTCCTATTATCCTCTTCTCCTTTTCTCCTCAACTTATAGCCCCTATTTGGGGCATGTTGACAGTAAAAAGAGTTGGCCCTTTCTTGATTGCATGGTGCGAGCAAAGATTGGAGGAGTGTCTTCCCAGCCCCTGTCGTGTGGATCATTGCTAGAGAGAATGATAGTTAACCTTATTCATCCTCGTCTATAGATCTACAATAGTTTAGGGATTTATGATCTCCCTAGGTAACACAATCTTCTTATACATTAGTTTTTTTGTTTCTCAAGTTTATGCGCACCAATCTTCGCACGACGATAAAATTTTTTTTGTAAAAATCTAAGATTTTTTTTTTCTTCTACTGCGCATGTGATGTCACCCTAGATATTTCAATAAGTATAATCCAACATATATGATCACGCATGACTTAGCTCATGTGGTCATATATAACCCAACTCATGTGGTCAAGTAAGAGCCAATCCATGTGGCAAGGTATGCCCTAACCTATGTGGCTAAATATGATCTAGCCTATGTAGCTAAACACGACCCAATCTATATGATCAAATATTATCACAACTTATGTATCAAAGCATGACCCGACCCATGAGTTAAGTGTTACCATGGTAAGACTCGGCCTAACTTATGAATGAGGCTCAACCCAGTTCATGAAGTTATGCCCGCTCAACTATACGATTGGCATTGGACGCATCGTCGCTTCTTTATCCAGCCTAATAAACCTTAACCCAACCTATTACTTGAGATAAACATGTGCAACGCATGTGATACTTCTAAAACTCATGTGGGTCAATTCATGAGCTAGCACTTTATGACATAATTTGTTTCCTCTATTTTTATCGGCATAAGCTCGTTAATTGATTGTATCAAGCATGTTTAATTTATTCAAGTTGGTTTATAGTGATTTCAACTAGTTTAAACATACTTAACCTAATTGAAATCAATCATTAGGTGTTAGGTGAATTGAGTTTGGTTTAATTCAACTAGATCATTACAATTAGTGTTTTGGTTGATTAACGATAATTGAAAGATTGATATTTCATGTCTTTATGATTTGATAAAATTAAAATATTTTATTTGAAAGTATCATTTGAAAATGATTATTAGTTTTTTTTTTTTTAATTTATGATATTAATATAATTTTTATACTATATGTGACTATACTGGTAGTACATATTGAAAGTATAAGCTATAAAACGAGCTACAATCTTATCATAGTGTGGAGCCACTAATGGACATAGTCTAGCATATTATACTATTTCTTAGATGTATGCATAAATGAATGA